CATAGAATAAATTCCTAGAAATAGAAACACCAATTCCAAGAATGTGCACATATTGAGGCTCTTGATAGCTGTTATGGTTTGTGTTTAGATGTCCCCTCCAAAAGCCTCATGCGATGAGATGGGACTTTCTTTCTCAGAGGTTGTTAAATTTGTCATGGTGATGCTGGGATTCGGGGCATGTGATTACTAAACCACTACATGTGAGTTACTGGTTTAGCAACGTGCTAATCCTGGTCTGGATGGGATAAAAGGCAAAATGACACGGTGAATCCCTCTTGTTCCTGTTGCTGCCTTGTGTGCACCGTTTCTGTTCTGAGACGCTCATTTGCCATCCCACCCTGGAAGCCAGCCAATTGTGGGCTGAAACCTCTATGAACTGTAAGCCAAATAAACCCCTTCCCCTCTAACTTGGGGTGTCGGGTATTCAGTCTCAGCAATGAGAGAAAAGTAACTAACACAATAGTTGTTGCCAAAAAGCCTCCCAAAAATCTGCCCAGGTTTGTCCTTTCACAGCCATTGGAGAAGAGTCTGTGTTTCTGCATTTGCCAAACTGATAGATTAAAAACAGTAATTTTGGGGCCGGGGATTTAGCTGAGTGGTTCTGGTGCCTGCCTCGTAAGCGCAAGGTACTGAGTTTGATCGCCGGTACCAAAAGAAAAAAAAAAATAGTAATTTTGCCGTCCATCAGTTTTCAATTTTGACCCCTAAAGAGGCTGACCACTTTGCTTACTTACAATAATTTATAATTGTTTTCTTGTTCATAGTTTTCCTACTGTTTAAAATATTAGGAGATGGATTTTCTCCCCTATGTATTTGTCTTTTTCACCTGCCCACCTGCCATTCTTCCTTTTCCCCCTATCCTCCCCCCTTCCTTCCTCTTTAATTTCTTACGTACAGTCTTTTTCTCCCTTCTGAGATTAAGAATAATAGTAATTTCCTTTGAGCAAGGAATGAAAAATAAGTTGGGATCCTAGATTTAAAAAATAAAAGGGAGATATGTAAAGGTATTTACAAAGCAATTATCTCTCTACAAAACAAAGCCCTCTCTACCTTCAGGTAGGAAATTGTTTGCTTTAATAGTTATACCCACGGTGTTTATTTTCTATTGCTTCATAATGTACCTTAAAATCAACATCGGCATGTTGTCTTCTAGTCTCTATGGGTCAGAAGTCCGTGTAAGGGGTGGACGGGGTACCCTGCTTTGGAGTCTCCAGGCAGAAATCAACGTCTCAGGAAGACTAAGTGCTCTTCTGAGGCTCCCTGTCTACTTCCAAGTTCAGTGGCTATAGGCAGAATTCACTTCCTTAGGATTTTGGCGTTGAGGTATCCATTTTCTTGCTATTGAAGCCCTGGGCCCCTTTTAGCTCTTAGAAGTGACTCATGACTCCTTGGCCAGCACCTCCAGTGAGCACATTTCTTCATAGCAGTGGGCTTCTTCTTAGACACCAGCTGGGGAGTCTCTGTGACCTCTAGAAGAGAGTAGTACCTTGGGAGAGCTCACCTGATTACCTCAGAGCTCAGGATGAAGAAACTCTTTTGATTAATGCAAAGTCAACTGACTGATCGTCAACTGATTAGAGAAATGGACTCCACTATATTCACAGTGTTGTGGCAAAGAGGTGCTAAAGCCGAGTGCCACAGCTCTGAGGCACAGCCCAGTGTTACAGCTTAGACTTGAAGCTATCGCAGTTTGAAGACTCGAGAATCCAAAGGTCACTCGAAGAGGTGGGGAAAAACCTTTCATTATGCCTTTGGGCTCAGTGGAGTTCTTACTCTGAAGTGTGAGTGCTTCACCGGAAATGGAAGCCTCCTTAGACAGGGATCTAGGGGTAGGTGAGCATGCTCACAGAAGCAAAGGGGTGGAGTTAACACAACATTCTGAAAGGGGCGGAGCTAACAACGTTCCTGAGAGGTCTCGCAGTTCAGACAGTTGCAAAACATTTTAATACGTTGGGCAGGAACCCCAGCAACAGAAACCGTTGCATTTGTGGAACAAAACATTTTGTGGAAAAAACAAAGAAACAAGGCCAAGGGGAAGGCAAGGGCCTGTCTTATTGTATAGGGATTGCTCTATCAACAGGAGCAGCTACCAATGGATTTTAGAAGATGTGCAACAAGGACCGCCATTTTGCGGTAGTCTCTCCGTCTTACCAACCCCGCCACTTACAATTTTCTAGGTTGGTGCGACCCACTGTTTTGCAGAAAATGGTTCTGAGTAGAAATGAGTGTCTCTCTTTCCAGCGGCTCTTTTTAGTATGCATAACATGGGTGTATCTTCAGGTCATTCCAGTTTCTTGGAGCATCCCTTATTTCACTGAGATTCCTAGGAAGCAACAAAGTCCCTACCAATGAGCTGTAGGATGAGGCTGGCCTCCGTCTTGCCCTCCCAGGGTCTGTCTTTTCTGATGATGGTTCTGGTTTTCTTTTTAAGTTTCCTTTAGCATATTTGCATGACGGAGATATTTTGGAGATAGAACCAAAGGGTACACCTGAAATTTCTTTGCCTTATGTGTTCTTGGAATTCACACCCTGGAGGTAACTTTTATACAATAGTTTTAGTGCACTTGCATTTTGACTGAGATTAGGTGCATCATTTTCCACTTGTTAGCCGCAGATGGGCTGGACTTTCTAGCATTTGGCTTTTCAGTTGTTGGATTAGGGATGCTGAACCTGCAGTGCTTGCATTTCACTTTGCACTTTCTTGATCTAAGGGTTAGTTGTTAATAAATAGAGAATCTATGTACAAATCCAGCAGATAATCCCTGTGATATAGCCAGAATTTCATCTATTTGCACAGGAATGCACCATAATGATTTCCTTTCGGTGTAAGTGATGAGGAACTGTACAGAACAAACTGGTTCCTTGCTGACAAGAACTGTACTTTAATGAATTCACATGATTTAATTGTAACCATCATTAAGTCAAATGCTTGCTAGGGAAGTATCTATGCATGTGGTTGCTCTTGGAGATAACACCATCAGAAATCATTTTGAATGGCATCCTACTTCGTTGATGTTTATTCTGTGTTTGCACGTGCGTGTGTATGTATGCGTGCATGTGTAAAACTTTCATTCATCTCTTATCTTAGGAAAGGAGCTACCTACCACCACCTACCCTCCCTGGCAGCTCCTTCATTTTTGTATGTTGCTTTTGGCCTTTGCCCCTTCCAGCCCCTCCTGAGATCCTAAATGATTGTCATCTATTGTGGTGGCTGATGGCAGTAGCACCTTGTGCTCTGACTGTGTAACAGACGTTGCCAGTGGGGTGCTTGGAGACTCTGTGGAGATGCAGAAGAGGGTCACCTGCAGAAATGAAGAATTTAATTTGCCAGTGCTCTCCGTTCTGGCTACTCTGGCTTTTGTTCTCACATCCCTGTCCTTTCACAAAATCCTTTTCTTTTGCTGCTATTTTGTACTTGTCTTTGCTTTTTTGCTGGATGATGTCACCCATGCTAGAACCTTCTTGGCACCGCCAGGAAAGTGGCAGCCCATTTGTAGATGACTAAAATGTTCATGGCAGAGGCACCACAGCTGTTCACGTGTGTAACAGACCTATGGAAATATTTCTCCTGCAAGCTGCTCAGAAGTGTTTACCACAGTGACAGAGTAATAGCTGGGACTATCTGCCTTACAGCCTAACAATTAAGCAGCTCATATCCCAAGGGAGGAGGCTGCACACACCTGCACCAGCTTTATCAAAATCATGTTGTTGAAATGCATCTGGCTTTCTGTAATGCAGCAGAACCACAATGCTGCACCCAGGGCTGGGATTCTGCAAGCTTTAGGGTATCATTCAGCAAAGTTAGGCTTATCTCATAGGCATACAAAACCTGAAAAGGGCTCCAGCTCTGTTGATCTGCAAGTGTTCCTGCCACCCAGCCTGTTCTACATGCATTCATTAACAAACTCAGCAAGAAGAGAATGAAATTGGAAGAGATTTTTACAAGACAGACAACACTGTGAGTCTGAGGACTGTGAGCTTCTCAAAGGTTGGGCAAGAAATGGTTTTCTTTTAGAGAGAGGAGTCAACAAGGTTAGAAAAAGTGGAAAGTAGAGGAGTGTAATGAAAATGTGGCCTCATGAGACAACAGGTCAGAGCCTGTTTACCACAAGGGCAGCTTGTTACTGTATCTGGTCTTGCTAACGATAAGCCAGAGTTCAGGGGGCTGGAGAAAGGGGAGGAATGTGTACAACCTCTGACCCAGGTGGGGAGCAGGATTTCAGCAAATCATTTCTGAGACAAAGAAGGAGAATTTGGATCTGGATTATCTGGCCCTGACTCTTTACTAGATAACTAGATAGACAAGGGACATTCAGGAATCTTTTCTTAGCCATGTGGGAGTGGGCCTCTGCAGTCGGTCACCTTGGGGAGCACAAGGAGTGGGCTATATCAAAGGAGATATTAAAGGCAAAATTGTTTAGTGTCACTTGTTAAAGCATCATGAGGAAGACTATTCAGGACCGTCTCTGTAGGTACTGGAAACACTGCATGGGGTTGTGGAGCAGCGGAGAGAGACAGGGCTCCGTTCCAAATACGGAATGAGCAGGTGGGGTTGGGGGGTGGAAAATTCCTAAGAGGAGACATCAGGGGTGAGGGGGAGTCCAGCGATAGCAACCTAACAGGATTCTTGCTGAACACAAAGCAGAATGATCAGACATCGCCTGAAGAGCGAAGCAATCGGATATTAGGGTTGATCGAACTTCACTTTGAGGGTGTTGCAGGATAAGCAATCAATACTGGAGTGACCAGGGTGGAGTGTCAGAAGCCGGGCCAATCAGATATGGAGGGTGTATGTACGGGGGGGGGGGGGCAGGTTGTTCTTTATAAACTCACTTACCAAGCTCCCCGCTCAAATGTGTTTTGCACCGATGTGTGTAGAAGGAGCAGACTTAGGAATGTGACATTTGGTTAAGCAAATATTTGTCAAGGGGGTTTCTCAATGTTTGGTGTTTTCCAAGGTCAGAGCGGGCAGGTAAAATTCAACCACACCAGTGCTGTGATTTCCACCTGTGGATGTCTTTTTCCTGCTCCTGTTGGATGGGGTTGAGCTTCAAGGCAGAAAGGGTTCAAGCAGCCCACCTAGAGAAGGGATGCTTCTCTCTGGTGGGGTTCAGTGTAAGAGACACCTCATGGCCACGAGATGAAGGATAGCCAGCAGGCCCACACATGGATCTGCAGTCCATCACTTAGTATGGAGGGCATCTAACCCAGGCCAGGGGATTTCCAGAAGATACAGCCACCTCAGCACATGTGCAACTTAAGACAAGAATAAACTTCCTGTGTGAAAGAGAAATGCGGTAACTGACCAGCCTGAATATATGTATAGGAAGAGGAGAATGCTCCAGTCTCCTGTGCAGCCTGTCCTCTGTCCTCTTAACTGTGTCTGTATCCTACTGCTGCTGTCTTGTAAGACCACTGCCAAAATCAAAGTCGCTGGATACTCATCTCTTAGGCAAACTGGACCCGAAGGGAACAATGACGCCCGAGGGATCTGGTTCGTGTGGGCCATCCAAAACTCATGAACAAACAGCTGGGCAAAACACAAATGCTTCTCGTGTTTTGTGCTCAAGCAGGGTGCTGGTGGCCCGGCTGCAGGAAAGGTGAGAAAGGTACAAAGGCTCTGTTTAGGCAGGCCTGCTTGCAGTGATAAGGCTCCTTGTGGGAATATGTTAAGATAGGCTCACTGGGGCAGAAACCATGAGAAGAGGGTAAATAAATTAGCTCTGAGTCAGTATCTTCCCTATCATTAGACCTCTTTCCCAACAATACCAGTGGAAACTGAAGATGACTTAAAGGTAAGAAAATGTATTCTAGGACCCATCTTTTTTGCTTTTACATGGATGGATGGATGGATGGATGGATATACAATTAGATGAGAAATAGGATGGATAGATAGAGGGAAAGATGTTGGATGGGTATATGGATAAATTAATAAAACAGATACCTAGATAATACGTGGAATAATGGATGGATATGAAGAGAAAGGAGAAGTAGCATAGATAGATACATAGATCATAGGTGGAAATATGGATGATATGTAAATAGATGGGAAATGGAATACAATAGAATAGAATAGATACATAGATAATAGATGGAAACAGATGTATGGGTATGATAAATAGGGTGGACAGATCGATAGAAAAAGATATATGGGTGATGGGTGGGTGGATGGATACGAAATTAGATAGATGGGCAGATAGGATGAAAATATGGCTGATGGATAGATAGGAAAGTAGGTGTAGGTGATAGGTGATATATAAGTAATGACATATGGTAGATGGGATGATAGAAAAATAGGGCTAGCAGGATGGAAAGATAAATGAGAAATACATAAAAATGGAAAGAAAAATATAGAGAGATGGTAGATGATATGCTAGAAGATGGACAATAAATTAATGATAAATAAGTAGATATAAAAAATTGAGTCATAGATGACATATTCATGACAAATATGTTAGATGATGGGGAAATATATGAATAGATAAATAATGATACTTGATAAATAGAAGATAGATAATAATGACTGAAAGATGGGAGAAATAATGACAGAGGATGTAGATGAGAGAGAGGCTAGATCACACTTTCTGTAGATTGATAGGTACTGATCTATCTGCACAGAGGAAAGACTGCTTAGCCCGCTGTTCTATGGGTTCAGTTGCCAGAGCATTGGGCTCTGAAGTCTGCAAGTCAGGTGACTTCATTGTGGTTGTGCAGTCCAGCGCTATCACCTCCATTAACCAGGGAGCCAGAGCTGCCGCTTTAACCCCGGAGGAAGCAGTCAGTAAGAGCAGGAGAGCCGGACACTCCGGCTGCGTGTTCTTCCAACATGTGTCATCCTGCGTGGCTTTCTTTAATCTGTTGCTTGGTGATTTCCATTGATTATAATGATTTTCTGTGATGCCTGGCAAGAGGAGGTTTAGGAGGGGTTATAAATGGGGCTAATTAGGAAGAGGCAAATGGCTTTTTCAAAACATTTCAGGGACCCATAATTAAATTATGTGGCCAAATTATTTGTTAATTATCTTGCTGTGAGTCTGTTCCGTCTGGAGAGCTCATTCGTGGCCGGAAGGGTAGCAGGGAGCATGAGGCAGATGCTTGGCAAGGGAGGACGCGGACATGTGTTTGGTGGGGGGAATTCATGTTTTATTGGGGTCCTTTCTCCACAGGTCCACTGGGATTTTTCATTCCCGCTTCACTTTAGCTGAGATGTTCAGTTGGATTGATTGTGATCAGACAGCTCTTGGAAGATCCTGCTCCTCGTTGTGGACAGTGTCCTTACTCTGGCCTCAGACAATAGCCACATCCTTTCTCTCTTCTACAGATAGACATTTGAGTGTGCTGACAAAAAAACTCAGATTTAAAGACACCTCCCATGCCATTTTCTGCTCTGGGTAAATCGTGATTAACTCCTAACTAATCACGTCTGCGGAACTGTTTTTGTGGTATTGAGGAATGAGTTCAGGGCCTTTGCACTGTACTCCATAGGGTTTATATCGACCATTTATTGCATACTTTTTAAATCAGAACATTGTACTTGCCTTTGATGTTTGTCTCTGGTGAACTCTAATAATAACTTCTCATTTTCTTTTACTAATTCGTGTTTATTTTATTTGTGAAAAATAACCTGTAATTCTCTGCTACAATCTATAAAAACTCTTTATCATGAATGTATTAGATTTTTTTTAATACTTCTTCAGAACTCAGTGATGTTCTTTTACAATGCAGAGTGGACGTGTTTGGGGGCACTGAGATTGAACAGGAAGGAAGTGCCAAAAGATTTGCGAAAGAAAAATTGAAAGAGGGAGAAATATTAGCACATCAGAGAGGAAAACCCTGTGTTAGGAAACGGAGACACAAAAGAAAGTTTCCTTCTTGTCAACTCTTCATAATACAGAAATGATAGAACTTGAAGGAAGAAGCAAAACTAAAAAAATTCAAATAGTGGTCAGTGATTGTAGTAATTCCATGGGTGGTGTTGATGGATGAGGAACATCTAACAAGCCTGTCCTCCAATCAGAAAGCGAGGAAAAAACATTATTATCAATGTTTATGCACCTTCTGGACCAAACAATATGGAACTATTGCTATTTATTCAAAACAAAGGGGTTCAAAAAGTCATTTACAACTTAGAGTAGGTCTAATAGACCAAATAATTGAAAAATACGGGATAGCAAAACTCAATAGGAATGTCCATCATCAAGGTCTATACCATTATATTTGGTGGGTAGACATTTAATTGAAATTATGTCACCCACAGAAAAAAGGGAAAAAACTGCAGGATGATATAAAGTGTGTTGTTCAAAGAAAGACAATAATGCAAAAAGAATTTGGAAAGAGACTAGATAATACTGTCTAGATTGTAACATTGCATTTTTGACTGTTTTAAGATATACCATACACAGAAAAATTACTGAATAAATTTGAACAAAATTGTTATTTTTCTATTTCCTGTTATGTAATCTTATAAAAATTAATGAAAAAAAATGAAAGTTTTGGCCACCTTGTATTTACATAATTGGAGTGGTAAGTGGTTAAATTTTGAGGCAGTCTTGCTCAGTTGTCCAGTCTGAGCTGGAGTTTCTCCTGCTTCAGCCTCCCATAGTGCTGGGATTACAGAAGTGCTATGCCACCACTTCCAGCTCTGCAAGTGTGTTCTGGACCACATGGATTCCTATTGCTATCACCTTGCTATGCCAGTAACTCTCTATTTCTCTCCAGTAGCAGGACCCCAAATTTTTTCCAACACTCCTTTGAGACATCTTTTTTTTTTTTATCTTCTAAGTGCCTCCCTATTAATGGGTACAAAGTAGGAATAGGTTTAGCCTTCTAAGTCATTCCATGTTCAACTAGCTAAATTTACTTTGTATTTCATGAAAATCTTCATATGGCTTGCAATTAGACCACATCATCATATTAGCATCCCTGAGCCACCGGTGGTGTTTGCTAAATATGAATTTCACTCACTGCATTTCATTTTCATTGTTTCCATGGTCTTCCAACCTCCCCCCCCTTTTTTCCCCTGGAGTGACCAGTTATCCTCCACGTGTTGGGTAAATATTCCAATAGTCCTTCCATGCAAATCGCTGATATAGATGGTTGAATAGAGTAGACAGCACAGTGTCAAAATCCTTTGGCAGATGGGACAACCCTGCAGCCAGCTCTTCTGTACAGCATTTGTTCTAGACAACCATGATTCATAGAGACTATACCAAGAGATTGCCAGATTCCACCCTCGAACAAATTCATCCTCCAGTTGATACAAAGAGAGAGAAGTCTGGTAACATGACCTTAAAACACAGGAGCCCGGCATCTTTTCTAGAGATCTCAGGATGGTACCCACCGATTTCCAGGTATCTTTCTACCTGCATACAAGTCATTTATAGAAATACTAATTCAGAAATCTCATGTATGCAAGGCAATTGAGTTAACTACTCCATCCTTTCTAACATGTTCCCTGGTTTACTTAAAATGATGTGGTTGTTTGTTGAAACTGCACTGAATGCTGCTCTGATCAGGAAATGTTTCTGTGGACATTTACTTAATGATCATGGCAGAGCCTGTGCCTGTATTAGTCAGCTTTACTCTGTGTTGCATAAGCACTGGTTAAGACTGAATGTTCCTGATCCCCACAGTTGTCACCCCCACCCCCCACCCCCCGGGATGGTGTTAGGAGGTGGGGGCTCTGGGAGATGATGAGATCCGGAGGGTGGAGCCTCATGAATGGGATCCGCATCCTCATCACAGAGACCCCAGAGGGCTCCCTGCCCCTCCCACCAAGCAAGGACACAACAATCAGGCACCATCTACGACCCACGACCCACGAAGCAGCTCTCACCAGACTGGGAATCTGCCACTATTTGACCTGGAACTTTCAGCCTCCATGGCTGTCCAAAACGTTGTTTATGAGCCAGCCAGTCTATGGTACTTTGGTATAGCAGCCAATATACACTAAAACAGGAACATTTAAACAAATACAGATCTGCCACCGGCTAATGAAGTAGAATTATATCTACTGTCAAGTATACTCGTGTTGTTCGAACTTGGATCTTCTTGGTTTATTATTGTTAAAACTGTCTGTCTGCAAGTGATGATAAACTTGAGCTTGCATTAACTCATTGTACGAAAATTCTTGCCAGGGGCATCTGTACTTTCTAAAGGATATTTTATTAAACTACTCAGAGAAGGATTGAGGACAAAAGGCTGACCTGTGTATGAGGAACAGTTCTCTGAGCTACAAACAAAAAGGTTTTTTTTGTTTTTATTTTTGTTTTTGCTTAAATTCTTTTATTGGTACATTTTAGGTATGCAGTATGTTTACATTTATCATCGGGTGCTTGTACCTGATGTATCTTTGTTCTTATTTTTTCCCCATTACCTGTGTGTCCTTCACCCCCTCCACCCTTCCCTATTTATATAGACTTTGTTTCCATTTTTTTCTTTGCTCATAATTTTTCCTTTCCCTTCTTTCCTTTCCCCTTCCCCTCCCACTTCCCCTACCCCTATGAGCCTTTTCTTCCTATTTCAAATTATCAGTTATTCATTTTAATTGCTTTGGTGGATCTAGACAGTTATTGTCACTAAGTCTTTTGTATTATCTAGACATTTGTAATGGAGTCCACCTCAGCACAGAGAATATTACCTTCATGAGTGGACTTGAAAATCATGTTGTCTTCACACCTGTCTTTCTTTAGCCCCGGAACCACGTTTTGCACTTTTCATACCAAAGCTTAAATCTCGTTATGCATTTATATCATAATTGCTTTGCATAGGAAGGCAAGTTTTGAACCATTTCCTCTTAATCCTAATGAATGACTGCACAATGAAGTCTACACACTTTTCCTCATCCAAGGTATTCTACTGATGGAAGATAATTAATATGCTTAAGCATTGTGAGTACTTTTCTTCATTTTTAAAAGAAATTTGTTTGCTGCAGTCCCAATAGGTGAATGCTCACTTCAGCCTACAATGGAGGGGGATCCCAGTATAATAGATTTCAGTACTAAAAGCAGGATAGTCCAAGAAAACCAAGGAAGGGAATCACCAATACCTTAACACACTAAGCTTTTAAATTTTTTTATTGAACATACCTGTTTATATTGAATTACCTTGGTTTTTTTTAGTGAAAGATAATGAGAGTCCAAAGACCTATAAACTAATAGAAAAGGACTTTTTTTTAAGCACCACTAAGAGAAAGGAATTGAAAAAAATCCCAACATTTTAAGAGAAACAATTAACTGAATATTAAATATTTTCTTGGTAAAGGAAAATTCTGTTGCCATAGTGTTCTTCCTTGAATTTTTTACTTTCTTAAGTTTTATCGGAGTTTTGAATGCTATTCCTAGTTGCTTGAACTCTAGCTGGGAAGAAAGTCTATGATTAAAAATAATGCTATGTAATGATATTAGATTATTTCATAGGAGTGTGTGTCCTTCAGGTGATTGTGTCCATTATCTGTATTTTTTCCCTGCTGCTTTTGAAGAGAAATCATGAATGAGTGAGTTAAATGTATTTATTTAGGTGAAAGCCACCAGAAGACAATAAACTATGTAGATACTCATCTTCTCCTCTTTCCCCATCATGGAAATGTGCAGAGACCTGTAGCAGCACAGTGGCCCTGGACAGAGAAGGGTAAGACTTGGTGCAGAGAGAAGGAGAAAGGAAAAGCGTATTGTATCGGTCAGCTTTTCATTACTGTGACCAAATACTTGATAAAATCAACTTTGAAGAGGAAAAGTGTATTTGGTTCATGGTTTCAGAGCGTTCAGTCCCTAGGTGGCTGGCTGGCTCCAAGGCAGAAACATCATGGCGGAAGACCATGGCATAGTGAGGGCTCCTGACCTCATGGCATTGGGAAAGCAGAGCAGGGAAGGTTCCAGAGAGGAAAGGACCAGGGTCCTCGTATATACTTCCTACTCCTGCTTCTTGAAACCTACGTACTCCACTTGGACCCCATCTTCCAGTAACATGATCCAGCATCTTCCCCAAAGCCCATCAGCAATCAACCCATCAAACCAATGAGCCTTTTGAGGAGACACATTACGATCCTTGAGACCAGTAGTCTCTTACATTTGTTCTCAACTTGGTAGAATATTTCTGTTGCTATCAAGTATTATGTTTTTCGTTCTGCTTATCCCTTGGCTGATTTTTCTCTTCCTGTGCTGTCTGCATGTGAAAAATGCTGCAATAAATAATGGAAGTTCAGGTATCCCTGACACATCTTGATTTCAGTTCCTTTGGATATGCACCTAACATTGAGATGAGTGGTTTCCCTGAGTCATCTGGTAGATCTATGTTTAATTTCTTGGGGAACCTCCACAGAGGCTGTACCTTACCCCATCTCCACCAGAAATGTGCAAAGTGTTGCCTCACCATCAATTGTTACCTCTTTTTGCCTGCTGTTTTATAGTAGCCATTCAGACAGGTATGAATAGATCTCTCACTGTGGTTTTGATATGCATGTGCCTGATTAGTGATGTTGAGCATCCTTTCACATGTTGGTGAGCCACTTGTATGTCTTCACAGGAGAAATGTCTAGCGGAATCTTCTGTCTGGTTTTAAATTAGTTTATTGGCTCTTTTGTTACTGAGTTGTAGGAGTCACTCCTGTATAACCCATTGAGCCATTAATCACATAGATGGATTAATCCATTCATTAGATCAGAGCCCTAATCCTTTTTGAGAGCCTTACCTGGTACTTCCTCTTAACAGCTCACAGTGAAGACTAAATTTTAACCTGAGTTTCAGAGGGTACAAAGCATAGCAAGCGAGATGGAGGCTCTCTGGTGTTTCACTAGGGAATGATGTAAGATGCAGCTATTCCAGATCTGTCTCAACCAAAACTCTGCTCCTTTTTGGTTGGTACCTGAAAATCCCTATATGCAGAAGTAGCCTCACTAGCCATGGTAACACTTTCATTATCTTCTCTAATCTCCATCCTTAAAGACCCCAGAATGTCTTTCCTTCCTGTGTACTCTAGACAGCTCTTGATTAACTTGTAAGGGCACACAGAGTGAGTCCATTGTGGATCTGCAAGAAAGGGCAGATCTCTTAGTTCAACAGGAAAGAAAATAAAAGTACCGAACCAGTTAAAGAAGGGGTAGAACTGAGGCAGAGGCTACAGGCAGGAGGAGAAGATGACCATGGAGGAAAAGCCTACACAGGCAGGGGCAGCCCTGGGCTTTTTCTCTGACTGGCACCCTTAACATTGAATCCACATTTCTTGTTTTCTTTGAAAGCTCCTCCCCTGGAATCTGGGAGTTAATCAATGACTCGGAACCTGATCACTCCTTATACACTTTGAACAGGTGGAGAATATACAGGCTCTGTTGTTTCTGAACTTGAGCCAATCCTGCCAGAAGTCAGACAGAAGGGAGGGGTTGCAAATTCACCGAACGTTATGTATCAGCCTTTTGGTTTATGCTCCTGTGTACGTTCTCACAAAGCCCTTCTGTTATGTATTGTTACCAGTGAAGACATCAAGGTCATTTCCATCTGGCCCTCTCACCCTTTCCTCCATAGCCCATTCTGCTGAATATCTATCTATCCGTTGTTCTCTGTTACCAAGCACATCCCCAATATGGCAGTCTCTTCACATCCCCAAGAAGAAGGTTTTAGGATGGCCACATCTCCAGTAGTGCTGAGGACACCATGTAGAAGACACTCGTAATAAAGCTCATAAATTGTAAATCTAGGAAAGTTCTGACAATTGGAAAATGGCAACACTTTTTCATTTGGAAGTTGAGCCACTGAACTCAGGGAGAGAGAAATGGCTTCCTTCCCCATGATGAATTTGTGTTGAACCCTTCACATCCCAGAGCACCCATGATTGGGTCTTGACATCTTGCTGGAGTAGTTAGAACTAAAACCAGAAAAGGAGGATCCTAGCTAGGAACTCACTCAAATGCATTCCAAGTGCAGTGGGAGGATTGATATATAATAGGGTAACAAGCATGACTGTAATTAATTTCAGTCCACTTTATCTATGCTAGGCACCACTTACATTTGGGATGCTGAGTCAAGTTTAGAAAAAACACTATTTGAAAATTATAGACTTCTGAAGTATAGAAACGTTAAAGCAGATTGAAATGGTAAAGCGTATTTCCAGTGTAGGTTGGTGAACATGCTAGATTTCCTGGGTAATGTGAGCCCATTTCCTCTTTGATTTTCAGAGAAGAGAGAGAGAGAGAGAGAGAGTGTTTAAATTCCAGATAACCTCTCATCTTAACAGGCAATGCACTCATTGCAAAATGTACTTGTGAAAAACTGAAAAACTGACACTTTATCAAAGCTTCATGACATCAAATATTTTCTAGGGAGCATGATGGTATGACTAAATATTTGCTTACTGTAATTATGAATTATTATGTGAAGACTGGGTGAAATGATTATCTTCTTTTACTGTTGAAGAAGGCCATGCAAATTAACACCTCGCTTCATGAGATTCAGCTCTTCAGAAGGAAAATCATATAGCAGCAGCAATACAGTTTTTTGTAGTATTTGGAAACACGTTGAAATGTTAACATGTATGAAGCATTGATATCATAGACATTGAAAATAGTAGGGTAAAGTCACATATACTCGTGTATGTGTATAAACTATATATATTTATGTTTAAAGCTGTGTTTATGATCAAAGATCTTTATATAGTTTGTCATATGCTACTATATAGATATGCACACACATGTGTATGTAGTACTATACAAACACCTATGCTCAAAGTGCACTTTTCCACTTATTTAAGAATTCAGTGATAAATTATGTGATGAATAAAAGTTTCAATTTGTGGTATAAATAAACAAAAAGTCTTATATTCAGGAGGAAAGGCAGCAAAATACAGCTTAAAATTATCAAACGTTTTATTGTCATATATATTGATTTAAAAATGCTTGAAAATTTGAATCTTGAAGGAAAGAGAATGCTGGAGCAGTGGTCAGAATTCCAAGACTAGGCATACCAGCAGTTACCTATTTGGCATCTCATTTTTCTACGTTTTGTCTTTAAAAATTACATAATTAATCCCTAGTAGTAATAATAAGTATTATTCATGGTGAACACGATGAATTATGCATTTTCCCCTAACTGTTCACACAAGCTAAAGATGAACACAATAAAA